CCACCACAGAGAGTTGATGTGATAAGCGGTTATCTGTAAACCCCTCCTCTTCCTCGTCTTCTTCCTCTGTTCATCATAATTCCCCCCCGGCGAGGTCAAAGGTCATGTGTTGGAGAGGGGCCTGGGGTGAGTGGTGTGAATGGAGAGCCTGGGGACCGTCTCCGCTGGTTAGGGATTAAGTTGCTGCCGTGTGGAGAAAGGCGGAGGCGTCGCAGAGTCACACAGAGACACTCATCAGCGCACATATTTTCTTATGGAAGGAAAAGTAATGATAAGCTCCTGGAATCACAGACTGGGTCGCACGTGCCGAGAAAGGTATTAGTATCATTGTTCAGGACGTTTGACCGACATACATCACTCGATTAACTCCTGACCCAAACAGTTGTGAAATATCTGCTTTTTCTCACGACTACAATGTTTGATTTAACTGTGAATGCTGGTAGGTCACATTATTGTTACAGTCATGAGATGTATTTATCTCACTTAGCAGGACCTTAATATATCATACTGTTTACAAAAGGATGTTGAATTCAGAATGTTTTCATTTGGAATTTTGAATTGGAATTTAAAATGGAATTTGGAAATGGAATTTGAAATTGGCATTGAAATTGAGATTGAAATTGGAATCGGAATTGGAATTTGGAATCGGAATTGGGATTGGGATTTGGAATTGGGAAATGGAATTTGAAATTGGAATCGGAATTGGAATTGGGATTGGAATTGGAATTGGAATTTGGAATCGGGATTGGAATTGGAATTTGGAATTTGGAATTCGGAAATGGAATCGGAATTGGGATTGGAATTTGGAATTGGAATCGGAATTGGGATTGGAATTTGGAATTGGGATTGGAATTTGAATTTGAATTTGAAATTGGAATTGGAATTTGTTTTGTGCACTTACTTATAAAGACTAGAGGCTTGACTTGGCAGAGCAGCTCTATGATGTACTACAGCAGTTTCTTCCTCATCATTTTCAGGTCATCTTGTCCTGGCGGTAACAGCTGATCAAACTGCGGCACAAACTGGCAGCTCAAAGGGAAAGAGGATGATCTTTGATGTGCAGAGGCCTCCATCCTGACCTCCATCCTGACCCCTCAGCCTCGGCAGCTTGCTTTGCACTCGATCCAGGAATCAGCCACAGAGAGCACAAATCATTATTTCTACTTCACAACCACGAACCTTCCTTCAAAGGCCTCCCAGCCGACCAAGATGAAAGCTGCTGTTTGATTGTCTTTGGTCAGTTACCGTGACTTCTCATCTCCTCCATCCCAGTCCTTAAAAACCCAAATTCCTGTGTCCGGAGTTGTTTAAAAGAATGTGGCGACTCCGTTTAATGAAGCCGAGCCAGGGCTGCACTAATTAGTCAAGTCCAGTAATGGCTGGAATCCCCCTTTGGACAAAAGCAGCCAAATACCTGATAGCTTCCAATCGTGTTCTCTCCTTCATGGGAAAAAATGCTTACGATTTATTTTGCCGACTGCCATGTCCCCAATTAAGAGGGACAGTTGAGGGGAGATCACTGTAGCAGCATTGGTTTTAGGTGAAATACAGGGCATTTACTTCAAATCATTCTTTATATCTTGCAAATCATGCAAAAGTTTTCCAATATTCTGCATTCTCTTTCTGCAAAATAAAGCGCTAATAAAAGATAATCTGCACACTCAACAGGTGTGTCTGAGGTTGGGCTCCAGACACACATTTCCCCCAACCTGAATATACAGTCCCAAAATATTGTCTTTGTGCTTTGTTATCATCAAGCTATAGAAGCATAATAAAAACACCTGGGAAATGTTAAGGAAATACGTTTTAATGTGCTTGCCCTATAGGAAACAGTCACAAGGATTTATTTAAACATAATCTATATTTGAGTTAACTGATAAATTGTACATAATCTTTATTGTTCTAATATTGTTATAAAAAAAACGTCAACAATAAATGCTGCAGCCCATGATCTGTTGATGAAATGCTTTCTGATGTCCACATTCCTCAGAAGGATAGCAATTATAAAATGCTGACGCAGCAGTTTGAGGCTCTGGGCAGAAATGTCTTTGATCATCCACACAAAAGGACACATGACTTGAAAGGATGTCTTCCTCTTTCTCTCTCTGTGTGTGTTGGTGTTTTAAAGATTTTTAAAGTTTTTCCTATCTTTCGCAAAATAATTTTGTAGCCCCTAAACGAAAACAAAATGAAAATGCAACCGATGTTATATTGATAGTTTGATGCGATAAGATATCACAATTACCCAATTTATTTAAAATGGAGTTGACTGCCTCAGTTTTCATCGTTCTTCTAGATGTGTTGTGTCACCTGCATTCTGGGAATTGTTCCAAAGCCCATTCCCTTAAAGGTACACAAAACACTGGTTTGTCAATACGATTCAGTGATATCCAACAAACCAGATAATTTTTTTACTTGATCGATGATTTGAATTGTTTTTGTCCTGCTGACAAAGTTTTAATAAAATAAATATTTCTCCAGCATCAGTTCCCAAAACAACGGAAGTGACTGACAGAGAATCCACTGAATTGATTGTCTGACTGATGTAAAAATGTGAGGTTTTCTAAACACAGATATCTTGATGAACTCCACTTTAACTCTACACAACTGAATTTATTAATTGGCGGGAATTTGCTCCTATCTGGAATGAACAGTTTCCACGCTATAATTAAAATATCAGAAACTTCCACTCATGCGTGCTGCGCTGTGTGCGCCTGAGTGGGAGTTTTGTCCTTCCTCCCTCTGCCCGGTTGGGATTTGCTGCTCAGTGACCTGCCTCCCTCCGCCTGGCTCCTTATAGCCCCGGGCAGCAGGAAGCAGGACGAGTGGTACGGACATCGCCGACGGAGACCGCAAACACGGTTCCCCTTTAAACACGGTCTTATGACTACAGCCTCACAGAGAGGGGACCAGCAGAGAGACGGAGAGCCGGGGACCACTGAGGACCGTTTCACTGACCGGGGACAGGGACTGACAGCCGGGGAAACACAGGACACACCTGCTGAGGCTGCATGAGAACAGCTGGAGTTACCCGGATATTACTCATCTGTGCGCAGGTAGGAACCGCACCTGTCTGTGTTTTGACTTAGCTGAGACACCAACGGGAAATCATCACGGTTCTATTTCTTCTGAGGAGGAACAATGATCTCTCAATTGTGCATTCAATTAACCTAAGGTGGACCTAACGTAATGGGAGACTACCCCTTCTATCCATAAGAGCTGCCATACAGTGATTGGCTATTTTGAGCCTATTTTTGGTAATGTTTAGTTTCTCTGTGGTCACTTTTGAGTCCTTTAGGGTTTAGGGTAGTCTACTTGTGGTAATGCTGTGTCTATTTGGGTTAACGTTGATCATTTTGTCTCTTTTTATGCTGTTTTGTGCCATTGTGTGGTCATTTTGAGGCTTTTATTCTGAATATTTTTGTGCTCAATTGCATGCTTTTACTGTTGTTTTTTGGTCCTTTTTGGTAATATTGTGCATCTTTATGGTCAGTTTGAGTCTTGTTTGGTAATGTTGTGTCTCTTTGTGGTCATTTTATGTTTGGTAGTTTTGAGTCGCTAGTCGACCTGACTACCTAGTTCTGGGGATATTTTGCAGTTGATGGGCAGTGGGCCCTTGGAAATGTGGGCCCCCTGTCGGCCCTTTCTTTAATCAATCAATGATTAGTATAGGCTACTGATTATTATATTTTCCATTACTTATGCAGCTCAGTAAGAAGTATTTAGATCATTTACTTAAAGGGGACCTATCATGCCAAATGCACTTTTGTACGTCTTTTATACATGAATATGTGTCCCCGGTGTTCCAGGGAACTCACCAAGTGTCAGAAAATACAACCCTCTCTCTTTTCCTCCATACCCAAATCTCTAAAAACAGGGCTGCAACGGATTTGATACATGTGGATTCTGATTTGCACCTCTATGATGTCACAGAGGTGCACTCCGCCTGTATGGTCAACTCTCCACCTATCAGGGGAATGAGAGGTTGCCGTGGCATGGCAACAGCATAGCAACAGCATGGCAACAGCATAGTAACATGACGCTTGTGCCTCGCCCCCTCCTTTGCAGGGGGGGGGGTCAGCTCCAGCTCATGCAAAGACAGAGCTGGAGTGAGGCAAAATGAGGCATGGCTAAAATGCATGATTTGTTTGGTATTTTGACAAATAAAACTTATAAATTTACCTTATATAGGTATGGCCCTACAATATATTATTCAAATATAGCATGATAGGTCCCCTTTAAGCAGCCGTAACACGAATACACACTACCGCCGTCTGCTGGTAAGGAGAGTTATTGACACTCACACATGCGCAGTTCGTACGTGCTCTGCTGAAGTCTATGCGGTGTGTTCCAGGTTCCAGTGCGACACATGGCCAAGACGCAGGAGAACACGGCGACGCAACAGTTGGCGTCGGCGAGTTCTCTGGTGACTGCTTGACGGGCCTTTAGACGAATAAGTTTGTTCTTGATGCATGCAAGGTGTTTTTTAAAGTTCGTTATTGCCTCTCCATCTGTCTGTCTGTCTGTTCCTCTTACTGTCTGTCTGTCTGACTCTCTTTACTATGTATATTTTCTGTCTCCCCATGTTTCTTTTTCTTAATTGTTTCCAGAGTGTTTGTTTGGAAATTTGCTGAGTTCTCCATTACACGCAACCAAGATCTGAGCCAAGACTTTCCCCTCTGAACACACACACACACACACACACACACACACACACACACACACACATACACACACACACAC